GGGCTATTTTAAACTCGAGAAGGCAAGAAAAATTGATGGAAACTGGAGAAAAGAAAAGAGATAAACACGTTCACTAAATCATTTTCCAAACCCAAAAAATGAGATATGTTTCAGTTTTCCTTAATGAATTGGAGAAGTGACTTTTACTAGTTTTCCAAATTTGGAAAACACGGATGCTACAGTGCCGCTGCAATGAACTTGTATAGTTACACCTAATGGTGGATACGGTCCGGCTAACGACCCGACGGTCCCTATCCGGTCTGATCAATTACCCAACGGTCCCTATCTGGTCTGATCAATTACCCAACGGTCCGGTCCGGTCATTGACCCGACGGTCTGGTCCGGTAAGTGACCCGACGGTCCGGTCAGTGACCCGACGGTCCGATCCGGTCATTGACCCGGCGGTCCGGTCCGGTCATTGACCCGGCGGTCCGGTCCGGTCCGGTCCGGTCATTGACCCGACAGTCCGGTCCGGTCATTGACCCGGTGGTCCGGTCCGGTCATTGACCCGACAGTCACTGTCAATCTGATCGACAGCCGAGCAATTCTGGCCCGATCCAATCGATGACACGACAATCCCGATCCGGTCGACAATCCTACGGTCCCTGTCCGGTCCACGACCCGACAGCCCAATTTCGGTCCCGACTTTCCTATACATGGGACATGGTACCCTACTTGGGTAGTACAGAGTATTAGGTTTGGTTCCAGACTGGTAGCGTACTTTCGGCCTTTTGGTCGGTCACAAAACCGGGTAAAAAAAATTGATGAATATGTTTTCAGATTTAAAAATGGAAAACTAAAAAATGAAAACAGAAAATTGGAGATAGAAAAACAGGAAAATGAAAACAGAAAATTTGAGAACGAAAAACAGAAATTGAAAACAGGAAAATATCTTTGTTAGTAAACATGCTCTTAGATTTTATCCCGTCACGAGGATTAGATGAACGCGAGGATGGCGAAAGGGTAACGGGAATGTGGAAAATTATATCGAAGTCCTAGAGCACCCCAATTTTACCGTAGTCCGCAGAGCACCACCTCTTGATGATGATGAAGTCGTAATCAAAAAAAGTTACTTTAGTTACTGATTTTGTTATTTTGAAGTAAATATATTGCTCATATAGCCATATAGGTTGATCAATGATCAGTGATAACCCGTCATTATCTAGCCAATCTATATCTGATCCAAATGTTATGAATATGATTACACACGAGAATGAGAGATGAAAATGTGAATCATGATGCATTAAAAGATTCAAATGACGATGGTGTTATTTTTTTGGATTGCTACTTTAAAATTTAAAAATATTAACAACTTAGGTCATAGATCGATAGTTTTCAATCATTCAGGTTCTAGATTGGTAGTTTATCATCATTTGGATCTTATATCGGTGAAATATTTGGAGGTTAGGAGGTGGCGTATTCTGACTTGCCTCAATTCATATTGACATTACAACATTCAAATCCAGGGATGATCGTGTATTGGTACCCACCTCTTTCAGGTACCGACAAGTTATTAGTATTTTTAATGTATCGTATTGCATTGTATTTTAAACCCCCCCCCCCCCCCCCCCCAAACTTTTCCATCTTTCAAGTACCACCGAGTGTGTGCAGTTCTAGAGAATTTTTTAGGCGCTTAAATCATCCATTTAGGGGTTTAAACATTGTTGTTCCTTACTAACTATTGATGACACACTTGTATTAGAAGTATAAATGTACGTTGTTGGTGGCAATGAGTAGTAATGCTAATAATCAGCTTTTCCCTTTGGCATTTTCTATTTGTGAAGGAGCAAATGGAGATACTTGATCATGATTAATGGCGTGCATATGTCATCTTATTACATGTAGAAAATTGTGTGTTATTTCATATCGACATGCTGACATTTTAAAGCGCTTAATGAGATTGATAGTGCGTGGGAGGAGTCAAATGCACAACATAAGCCTTGCATTTGGCATGTCTCTTCTAATCTGCACACTAAAGTTAATGATCAATCCCTTTTTACAACAAGTCAACATTAAACAAAAAAATTTAGGCTCTGTTTGCAACCCCTTAATAATTTAAGTGATTGTGGCTTTTTTCTAAGAAAAAAACACTTATTTTACCAAACACTACCAACTTTTACTTTCTCGGTTTTCGTGTAGAATCTACTTTTTACTTTTTCTATTACACAAAAAACACTTATTTTACCAAACACTACCAACTTTTACTACTAATCACTTTTTTTCCCAAGAAGTGCTTTTATTTAAGCACAAGCACTTGCAAACAAAGTCTTAATGATAGCTTTAACACGATAAGCGTAATGAAGGCATAAGAATATCTAGGGATATATTGCTATGAAGAAGTGGTTTTACACCACGATGAGGATACAAGTATGATACCACAACAACGGACATGACAGAAATTTTCAATAACTTATTGAAAAGTGCACAACACCTGCTTATAACTCCCTTAGTTGAGTTTTGTGAGTTATCATTTTATCGAATGAATGCCTATTTTGTGGGAAGAAGAGAAGCGAGTAAGAGAAGGTTTGCGGAAAGACATCGCTATTGTCATCAAGTGACTGAATGAATTGAGAAAACTAAGCAGAAGTCAAAGCATAACAAGGCCACAACATTTGATAAAGGCCGTGATTTATACCAAGTGAAAACGGGTCATGGTGGATGGTCTGTGGGGAAGGATGATACAAAACAAACGGTGAATTTACACTGTCGTCATTGCACATGTCAGAAACTGAATATTTATAAGATTCTTTGCTCGCATATCTTAGCAGTACGTAGAAAACATAATTTGTCATATAATGCTTTTGTTGATAATTTTTCTCATCATATATTAAAGAGAATTTAAACCCATATCAAATATAGTGTACCAGCCTACTTACAATATACCACGAGTTGTGAAAGACCCATCAATCATTCTCGTTAAAGGCCATTCGAAGGCTACACGATTGAGATATGAAATTGATGAAGGTCCTAGAGGTTAGGGGTGGGAAAAACCTAACCGAAACCCGGAAACCGACCCTGGACCGACCCGAATTATGATCCCGGTCCGGGTTTTTTTCTTTTTAACCGGCCCGAATTTAAAAAAACCCGGACCGAATCGAAAATTCCGGACTTATTAACGGGCCTTAAAATCTATAACCCGACCCGGACCGAAAAAACCCGAAACAATTAGTTTTAATATAAAATTAATATAGTATATGAATATAAATAAAATATTTCCTAATATATGATTATAATCACGGTGGATAAAAAAAGATTTAGTAACTTTTAGTGACTACAAATATGTTGAATTTGTTTAGCGTAATGATGACCATGAGAATATATTTATAGCAACTCTTGTAACTTTTTGATTTATAAAATTTATTTCGTAATATTTTTAATAAACCTATATTATTTATATGTATATATATATATATGCATCTTACATAAAATATTAAGATAATTATCTTCTTTAAATTTGAATTGTTGGTGATTTTGGAGACTAATATTTGTGTTATTATTTGCGGTTTGTATTTTTGATTAATTTTATTTGAAAATAAGTGTTAAAATATAAAAGAACAATGACATATTTCATGTCCGGGCTTTAACCGGTCCAACCCGAACCCGGACCAAACCCGGGCTACCAAAAACCCGACTCGGACCGAATGTAATGAGCTTTGTTCCGGTCCCTAATTTTCATAACCCGAGACATTCCGGGTAATTTCCGGGTTTAGCAAAAACCCGACCCAGACCGGACCGATCCCACCCCTACTAGAGGTACCGTAGGATGCGAATCATGTAAACAAACAAGGCATAATAGGGTTACATGTGTTAGAAGTTCAAAGGGATACATAGGGAGTTCCACCGGGTAATGTTGTTAGGGGTGGACCTGATCCGGTCCCTGTCCCGATACCGATTCTGATCTGGTCTACCCGATCAGTCCCAGTCCGGTTTGAAACCGGTTTTTCCCACCCTAGAATTAAAAAAATGCTCGTTTGGACTGGAACCAGGATCGGGGCCGCCTAGTCCAGTCCCCAAAAACCCAGATCGTCCCCTACTTGGTTGAGTATCCAGTCCAAGCTCAGGACTGAAAAAACAATCCTGGTTTGGACCCGCACAATGACTGACCCGCTTGCAGCCCGACCCAGGACCGCTGACTAGGTCCATCCTTAAATGTTGTAGTTTTCAATTTTTCACAAATGCATTCACATCATTAAAAACATTTAATATAACTTCCAAAAACTAAAATAACTGGTGCACATAATACTATTACAACAATGATGCGAGTGTCAATGATATTTCAATCCTGACACTGCAGGCCACACACATGAGCGAGTATATGTGACAGAGTATATGTGACATCACCTGGATGTTTAAGTAAATATAAAGGTGGAGCCGGGCCGGGCAAGTTCCAGTTCGGGCCTGGGCCCGACCGGGTCTTTTTTGGGGAAGGGGGAACCGAAACTGGCCCGAGTAGGCGGCGGTTCCGGGCTGGGCTGGTTCCGGTTCATTTTTTTCTTATTTATTTCATCCCCCACCCCCCAAACCCCTCGAAAACACCCAACCCAGCCCAATTAAACTCAGCCCAAACCCAAAAAACCAAAAAAAAGGCCCGAATCAGGCTCGGCCGAGGCGCCGAGCCAGTTCGCCTTTTGCATGACCCGGGCCCGGAACCACTTAACCCCTCGGGCCGGGCCGTTTCTGGGCCAGGCGGCCCAAACCGAGTCCATCCCTAAGTAAATAGGCACACACTTTATTCCACACGCGGGAGGAATGTTTTATGATTCTCATAACTTATTACGAGCAAAAAGTTATGACTTTTAGAAAACTTTGTAAAATCTGATAAGTAGTACTACCTTTGTTCCTTAAAACTTTGCCAAAGTTGATCGACACGGAGATTAATAAAGTAAAAATTATGTTGAGGTTTGTGCAGTGAAAAGAAAAATTACAGAAATCACAAAATAATTGATTAAAAGGGAAAGTGACAGTTTTTTGAGACGTCCCAAAAAGGAAAGATGGCAGAATTTTAACTTTTAAGGGACAAAGGGAGTACTTAATATTGATTATATTCTCAAATTTCAAAAAAAAAACATATAATCACTCATTACTTACGAGACATGACTCACAGAAAGAGCAAAGCCAACATATCTCACTACTACAAGTGGCTACTCAATTGTCGATTTTTTTTCTAGTAAAAAACCTAATATTAAACTAGATGAGAGGAGAACTATAAAGTTCCACGGTAACACAAAGGGTCTCATCTGAGGCAATCACCGATATGAAAACCCATAGACTAAACTCGTATAAAACAAGTTTACAATATATATGACTTATATATTAAATCTATAACTTTATTAGTCTCATTTAAACTCATTTATCTAAGCTACATATAAAACATTTAACTTAGGTTTTTTTTTCCAGTAGAATCACTCGATTCTAAACATTTAACTTAGGTATTGTCTAAAAACAATCCACCATTTTCCTTCTGTTGTTTCAACCCCTCAATCATTTTTCTGGCCCCAACACTGTGTACATAACCGTTAATCCGTTGTTTTAAAGTTCAAACAATTATCCGATGCTTGGTTGAACAGCTCTTGAACCTGCTTCAGCTCCTTATCTGGTACATATACAACATCAGATATACCCATCAGAATAATATGTAAAAACAATCATTCATCCATGATTCAAGTTATCCAGCCACCGTCAACGCACTCACGTTCAGCCGCCTAAGGTGACAGTCAAAAGACATGTAATTTACCACTTATTAACTCAGTGATGATTCTGGAGGGCCACGTCACTAATGGGCAAGGTAATCTCAGCTACCTCTACTCGTCTAGTCTGTGATCATTTTCAAGCTTCAATATTTGTAGTACTACGTAGCATGCAAAGGAATCATGCCAAAGATTGCAGGGGCAAAGAGATTAATGTCTAGTTATTGCATGGGTAAAAAAAAACAGAGCCAAATCACTGAAGGTTAATTGACTAATATGGATGAATCTGCTGAATTTTGAGAGAATAAGCCTTTGGTAATCAAGCCAAGAGATACTTATTGTGCAAAACAAGCTGAAAGGCTCTAAATTTATAGAAGATGCAGGGGGGGATATATCTGTATACATAATTTAATGCATGATGTATACATATCGCAATCACCATTAATAAACAGATCCCAAGTCTGTACTGCCCCCATTGATATCTTATTTTTTGCATTACCTCCTAACCAACTCTATTACCAAGCCCTTCCTTGCCTTTTTCAATTTGAGTGTTCATTTTCGTTTCATAATTACTTTGCAAAAATTAAAGCATGTCATGCTTTTTTCACACTACCTGCACTAAGCTTAATCCATCTTATTACCTTTCATAAAATACCTCTGTTAAATGCATCCACAATGCAACTAACTATGCAATGTACTAGACTCTGATTATTATGCTTTCCTTTGAGCACTTTGGTAAACTCATCTATGTGTTAAATAAGTTTTAAGATTGTTAGCTGGTTACAATGCAAAAAAAAAAAAAAAAAAAAAAAAAAAAAACTATGCAATGTACTAGACCCTCTAAATGCCAAAGTATGAAACCTAGGTTCTGTACCTGCTGCTTCCAGTTGCTTTTGAAGTTCTTGTCCTACTTCATCATTCTCAGCCTGGGAGCATACATTTCCAAATCATGGATTATTTTTTTAATTATTACATTTGTTACAAGGATGAGAAAGAAACTAAGACTACAACAATATACTACTCCATAATATATTGAACGACTTTCACCCAAACACTCGAATATATGATTTTGCTCCCTAAGGAAGCAGAAACGGTTCTAAGAAACAGACCCAAACACCCCCTATGCCTCTTCTTGGAAATGAATTCTGGCTACACGACTGAATTATTTGCTAGAGTGACTAGATAGGAAGTGTTTAGTTGATCTGAAAAGATGATACTAAGAAACAAAAGAATTAAAGAAAACCTTCCACATTACGTGAAAGATAAAACGGGAGGGGGGGGGGGGGGGGGGGGGGATAAACAACACTCTGCTAAAAGAGCATCAATCTTTTATCTTTGAACACAAAAAATACCAATTTAGTGGAACATATATACCTGAAGTTCTGCAATTCTTTTTAATTGAGCTTCTTCACCCCCTTCGGACAATGGGAGTGCAGCAACCAATGCATCAAACTACATGCAGAACAACTTATGAGAAAATTAAATGCAGTAGAAAAGTTTGAATCTACTTTCTATGTTGACTAGCAAAAATAACGAAGTAAATTCAAGTAAATAAAAATAACATAAACCGTTCAGCTATATATTCATCTTCAATAACAATTCAGAAACAAACTCTGTGCCGCAGATCTTTCATCTAGTTCACAAAAACAAATATTGTAGCCAGCTAGCTACTCAATCACTTTTTAACTCTTCCTCTTTACTTATCCCAAAGGGAGAATTATAGTAAAAATAACAGTTCACACAAACCTATCATCTAGTCGAAAGAACAAGCACCTAATCAGGGTTCACAAACCTGTTTAGCAGCTTTGACAAGTTCAGCGGCCATCAGTTTGGATTGCTCCACAGCGTTAGCCGTTGCAGCAGCTGCTGCCGCAGCATCATCGGCAGGCTTTGCAGCAGCGGGAGGGGGTTCCGGATAATTAGCCGACAATCGAACAGGAGAAGCATCTCTCTGAAGCGTTCCGAAGGTATTGAAGGCAAGAGCTGCCGTCGAATTCACATGTTCTTGCAACTGTGATATTATGTCCATCTTCAACACCTGCTGTCAGGGCCGGTCTTGTAAGTTAAAATAAGTCTAATCTTTAAAAAATTGGGAACCCCACTCTATATATCTTCACTTTCCTTATTGTTCATGTTTCTAGTGTAGTACTTATTTGAGAAATGTCTACACTTAGCATCAGGAGTATAATTGAGTTGCATTTCTCCTATAGGGCATTTTTCAATTAAAATGTTTTGACATCTAGATTCCCCTAATCAGCAAGGTCATAAATATCCAAAATCAAAGGATAAATAATTGCATTTAATGCATTTGATCTATCCAAATCATCCTGAACCTTTTCATTTTCGGTAGCAAAATCATTCTTCTCCTCTACATTCTCATTTTGAGAAGGACCTTCAACATAGGCCTGGGACCGGTTCGGTTCCTCTTCAAAATTGGAGGAACCGTTTGTAAAATCACAATTTTTTATATCGGTTCGGTTCCCAACAAAAAAATCTAGAACCATTATGGAACCGAACCAAGTGTTAACGGTTCGGTTCTTGACATTTTTCGGTTCTTAAAAAACTGTAATGCACCGATTCCGCCACAAAAAAAGTTAAAATACTCCACAAAGCTGCAATCAATCTAACTATAACCCCATTTCAAATAACCCCCAAATTTATAATTACAAGTTCAGGATTGTTAAAAGTTAGGATTGATTGAAACATGAAAGTTAAATGGTTCAAAAAGTACTAAACTGGAGCTTAAAAAAAGTACAATTATCCTTACAGAAAAGAAGTACATTAATTCAGTCCATAACTTCAAAATTAACATCATATTTATGTCATATGATGTTGCAATCTGGTCTTGATGAATCGAAGTTGCATATTAATAGCTGAAAAAAAACACAGTTTTTTAGAATGAAAAATGGGGTAATACGTATGTTATAGACATATTTTTCAAACATTTGGTATGCTTTAGTTGTCATTATCAAATCTAGTCCTAATACTATTCAAAGAATGGATGCAATTAGCTTATTTTTCATATTGTTTATGTATATATGCATACAGAAATTAAAATGGAACAGTGGAAACTAAATACAAGAAAGGATTAAAAAATCACCAGAAAGATTAGGATGTGTGAAAAAGATGATAAATGTAGTGGAAACCCAATTTACAAACAAAATGGAGGAAGAGATTAAACTCCTCCAAAACAGAAGTCAGAAACTTCAATTTTCGAAACAAATTAAAAGCTTCAATTTTAATTTTGAAGTTCCATATTCCAGAAAGGAGATTGCAAAACTCTGTCACACTGGCAGTCTTGCTTCACAAACGGATTCTCAAAACTTCAGAAGCTTCGTTGGTTTTGCTAGGAGGTTCGAAAGTTTAAATTAAATACATACCAAGAGCAAGAAAAACGTACCTACTGTCTATGACCTCTCCTTGACTCCTTTGATGAATCCGTGAAATCTTTGACAGAGTGAATGGAAGAGCATAGTAGAAGATGAGCGGTGTGGCTAGGGGAGGGGTTTCCTCCTAATCGGCAAATCCTTGTTGCACTCGATGAAGTCTGAAGCGGACTAAAGGAGTTGTGGGCTGCAAATGGGCTGCGAGTTGTACTGCGTATATTTTTTATTTCTGATTTGGACTACGGAATAGAATAACCCACTAAGAATGAACTAACCGTTCTATATCGGTTTCTTGAATATATTTTTATTGTAAAACCGAGAACCGAACCGGTAGTTTACATTAGGAACCGAACAGGTAAGTATTTAACTCCCAAAAACAGGAACCGAACCGAACCATTTCATATCCGTTCGGTTCCAAACATTTTTTCGGTTCTCGGTTCCAAAATCCCAGACCTACTTCAACATTCAACTTCTTCACAAAAACAAACTTTTCCATTGAAACTTTTTGACTTCTCCTTTTTTGTAGGCCTGGGACCGGTTCGGTTCCTAGGCAAAATATGTGGAACCATTTGAAAATATGAAATTTTACTAACGGTTCGGTTCTTATAAATTATTTTATAGAACCGATAAGGAACCGAACCGTTCTTAACGGTTCGGTTCTTGTCATTTAACGGTTCCTAGTCTTTGAAAAAATTCTTACAAATTACAACTAAATTTTTGGCAAAAAGACATTCAACGTTGGAAATTACAATATAAATATGTTGAACCAGTTAAAGAGAATAATAATTTTAAATAGTTTGGACCTTCCGAGTTCCGACCCGCTGGAGTTTGGACCTAATGAGGCCTAAGAAGCCTAAGAGAACCGGTTGAAGTGAATAATAGTTTTAAATAGTTAAATAACAAAACTAAAACAATGAATGTAATATAAAAATAAGTAAGTAAATATGCATTAAAATATATATACTCCTAAGAATAAGTATATAATTTTAATCTTAAAAGCTTATAATCCTCAATGAGGGTTAGGATATTTTAGGGCTGAAAATAATGTTGGTGTAATCATTTGCTTTGTTGGATAGTACATTACGTTTTAGCGGGTATACTTTTTATAGGAATTAAGTTTTTCCGTTTAACTCCCGTTAATAGCTCCCGTCTCTTCCGATTGAACCCTGATTTAGCACACCTCTGCCTCCCCCCTCGTTTCAAATTTGGACCGCCTCGAACCTTGGGTCCGCGCCTAGCAGCTCTCATCCACGCCCTGACCAAAGCGCCATGGCTCCTGTCGTTTGCCTGTTCTTGATCAGGCTGTCCAGGTTTGCATCGATGCCGTTTCTCCGAATTAAGCTCTCATCCCCTTCCTCATTAATATCCATATTATTGTGTTATTTAATTCCCTATCATTCATTGCATCAGTTATGGATGATGTGCGTGCTTCATGCTCCAGACCTCCCGCCTTCCACAAATATCAATGGGTTTGTGTGTAGCTCTGGAAAAACTTCTGCGCTTCCACACCTCCTTTGCACGGTAAGCATCCCCTCTTACGGCTTTCCTTCCCTGTATGTGCTATTTTCACTTCACTTTTGCTTCCTCTCATGGTCATTCTGTTTGAGTGTAATTTCTTTTTAGGCAAAGTAAATCCCTCTGTTGTTTTTTCATGTATTGCTCACATGGGAGCACAATGAAAAAACCAGGGAGTTTATTCTCCATCCCACCAAAGTAGAAGTAAACCATAGTTATGGCAATATATAGAAGATGCTTTACTTCATAAGAGATGGCTAGAATAATCAGCAGCATATTGTCATCAAACTGCTGTTGTATAAGAGATGGCTCAAATGCATTAATGTTGTTAGACTGAATATGAGTCCCGCCAATTAACACCTGTTGTTGTATTAGAGCTATTCTCGATGATAATAGTCAGCACCTGAAATTAGTGAAAACATGTGCCTATAAAAGATTTTGATGATACAAGTGGTGATTGTGGTCTAAATTAGCAGTACTACTAACTTACTCTTATATCCTCCACAGGGGTTTGTTGTCATTCAATCATGTTTAAATAGGTAAGAACATATTCAGAATAGAGGGTCTTGAGTGTTGACACTCAGATTAAACTGTTTTGGCTTGAACTTTTAGGCCTAATGTTGGGAAAAACAATCACTTTTACAGAAAATAAATAAATAAACTCATTTAGTGCTACTGCAGTGATGGGATTTTCTTTTTTACCCTAGAAAGTGGCTAACTGGGTGTCTGGGTATAGTTAAGAAAGGAAAACTATGATGACTGTTCTTGAAAAGGAAAGGATGGTTGTTTTAGGGCTTCCACACCTCCTTTGCACTGTAAGCCATCATGATTAGCAAAGTTCTAAGTTCTGCAAATGGTGCCTTGTATTTTTAAAATTGCAGGTTCAATTAGCTGTGATCATGAGACAGTAGTTTATTTCAAAATGTGTTGGCTGACCAATTTTTTAAAGGATCTAATCACAAAGTTCAAAATCACATGTTTTGAGCTATGGTGGGCACAAGGAGGAAAGTCATCCAACTACTTCATGGGTATGTATTGTTTGCAAGTTTAGTATTTTATTTTGTTGAAAAATGTGACATATTATTGTATTTTTTATTCTATGTACATCCGTTGCTGTATAGATTAGAATTAGAGCTGATAGATAGCTTTAATTAGTAGATAAGAACGCAGATAGATAGATCCTATTTTTTAGGATCTGAAACAGAATAGTTGTTATCTATACTCTGTATAAATACTTCAGCCGCATGGCTCAATAATATTCAAGGAAGATTAATTCCTCAAACTTACATGGTATCAGAGCCTCGATTTAAAGAAAACAATGGTAGAAACCAATGATTCTGATTCCTCACACACTACCAACCCTAACTCCCAAATTAGCTCCATGACAAATTACCAGTCCCCTATTCATTCATCCATGATAATCACTAGTCATAGATTGAATGGAACAAACTACCTGGAATGGTCTCAATCTGTCAGGCTCGCAATTGATGGGAGGGGGAAACTGGGCTACCTCACATGAGAAATCAAACCTAAATTACCTGGAGAGGAAGGATACAACACATGGAGGTCAGAGAATTCACTCATAACAGCTTGGCTTCTCAGCTCCATGGAGACCTTAATTGTCAGACCTCATATGTTTATGAAAACTGCAAAAGAGGTATGGGACTCTATTAAGGAAACATATTCAGATCTGGAGAACTCTTCTCAAATTTTTGAACTCAAAATCAAGTTGTGGCAGTCTAAACAAGGAAATAGGGATATCATTTCATACTACAATGAAATGGTATCTCTGTGGCAAGTATTAGACCAATGCTATGATAATGAAGAGTGGGAAAGTGCTAAGGATTTAGCAAGACATAAGAAAAGAGAAGAGAATGATAGGGTCTATATGTTTCTAGCTGGAATTAATAGGGACCTAGATGAAGTAAAAGGCAGAATACTTGGAAAAAAACCTCTGGCTTCAATCAGAGAGGTTTTTTCTGAGATCAGGTTGGAAGATAGCAGAAGGAGGGTCATGAACAACACTTCAGTACCTAATGAGGAACCTGGGGACTCATCAGCTTTAGTGGCCAGAGGTGATGACAGGAAAAAACCCTGGTGTGATCACTGCAAGAAATTGTGGCACACCAGGGAAACATGCTGGAAAATTCATGGAAAGCCACCAGGAGCTGGAAAGAAGAAATTTGAAAGGGCTCTACAAACTACTGTGACTGAGACTCAACAAGAGTCAGAGGTTGACTCTAAACAGCTGCCTTTCACAAAGGAACATATAGACTACCTTCTTCAGTTTCTACCTACCCAGAAAATCTCCAACCAAGAAAACCCTTCTTGTTCTTTTGCCCAAAATGGTAAAATTACATCATACTTTTGTTCTAAAAAACCAAAAAGTACCTGGGTCATTGACTCAGGTGCAACAGACCATATGACCTTCATTCCAAATTTTTTTTCTTCATATCAACCTTGTGCAGGAGATAAGAAAGTTAAAGTTGCAGATGGCTCTTTTTCAGCCATAGCAGGGATGGGAAATATTAAAGTTTCTTCATCCATTAACCTTTCTAAAGTCTTACATGTTCCAAAACTTTCCTGCAATCTTATCTCCATTAGCAAAATGACCAAAGATCTTCAGTGTTATGTAAGATTTTATCCTTCTTATTGCCTTTTTCAGGATCTGGCATCGGGGAGGATGATTGGCAGTGCTAGAGAGGAGAATGGACTATATGTCTTTGATGAAGGAACTGAATTGAATAAATAAGATCCAGAAAAAACTTGTCTGCAAACTATTTCCTTTCCTTGTAATAACGAAGTGTATTTAATGCACTATAGGTTAGGTCATCCCAGTTTTTATTATTTAAAAAAATTGTTTCCTAAATTATTTCATAACAAGGATCCTTCATCATTTCATTGTGATATGTGTGCACTTGCCAAACATCATAAGAGTTCTTATATCCCTCATAGTTACAAACCAACTAGTCCTTTCACCCTTGTGCACAGTGATATCTGGGGTGCATCTAGGGTTTCAACCTTGAAAGGAAAAAGATGGTTTGTAACTATTATTGATGATCACACACGATTGACATGGGTTTTCTTAATTAAAGAAAAATCTGAGGTTGAAGACGTGTTCAAAAATTTTTACTCAATGGTCCAAACTCAGTTCAATACCAATATCAAAATGGTAAGAAGTGATAATGGTCTTGAGTATTTTTCTAAAAATTTAAACAATTTTTTTGCTGAAAAAGGGATTATTCATCAAAGTTCCTGCATAAATACACCTGCTCAGAATGGAATAACTAAGAGGAAAAATAGACATTTGCTTGAAGTTACTCGTGCAATTATGTTCTCTACTGGGGTTCCAAAATATTTATGGGGAGAGGCTGTTTTGCATGCTACCTATTTAATCAATAGGATGCCTTCAAAAACTCTAGGATTTAAAACTCCTATTGATACACTTCAAAACTGTTTTCCTCAAACTAGACTTATTAACTCTCTTCCCATAAAGATTTTTGGCTGCACAGTTTTTGTTACAAATCCTGATAGAACTGCAAGCAAATTTGATCCTAGAGGCAAAAAATGTATTTTCTTAGGACTGTCTTCAACACAGAAAGGCTATAAATGTTTTGATCCTACAACAAAAAAGATGTTTATCACAATGAACACTAATTTTGTTGAAAATCAACCTTTTTTTAATAATACTCATCTTCAGGGGGAGAATTCTAGTGAAGATGGTAATACTGTTCAACATATTCATGAAAATCTTGAGTTTCTTGACATTAATCTAGATGCACATCATAACAGAATTTTAGATGCACTAGAAAATAGTCAAGAATCAGAAGAAAATGAAATAAATATTCCTGAAACAAGGGAAGGAGATGAGCAGCAGACAAGTAAATTCTGGGGCAAAGTTTATGAAAGGAGAGTTCCAAATCAAAGAATAGAGAACATCTCTAACCCTGCAACTGCTCATGAATCTGACTCAGTGTCAGAAAGTGACAAAGGTAATAACTCTAGTGATCTAAATCTACCAATTGCCCTC